ATCTTCTCCCTGTCCCATTTTTAACCTGGAAATAAACACTTAAATAGTACTTACCTTATACCAGGCTCCATTCTAAGTGCTTTACCAGCACCTACGGATACCATCCTTCTAATAGTGCCTACACCATAGTGTTGTTATCATCCCTGTTTGACTTAGGGAACCGAGGAACCTGCCTCGGGTCAGCAGCTAGTGGAGGCAGAACTGAGATCACAGTTGAGTCAGGCAGTCTGACTACTAGGGAGCCCATGTGATTGCTGCACTTGGCTGCTTCTCTGTCATCAAGGCCGGGACAACGAGCTCTCTGCTGTTTGCTTGTTTCTCCTGTCCCAGTGTTTACTCTGCCTGCCTCAGAGTTTCTTCCTATTCTTTCCACGCTTGGTGATTTTTACACACTCCGGTCTCATGCGGACACTGTGTCTCAGGGAAAAATATCCTGTCTTTAAAAGGTAGTTGACTAGGGATTCAAATCTATGATGCTGTGGCTGCCTCTTCCCCTGACTGTTAAGGTGTTTCTTTCCCCTCCAGGAGGGCATAGGTCACAGGTTGAAGTGAGGCTGCTGTGGCATCTGTTTTTATAGTAGATGCTAAAGAAGAAGCATGGGCCAGGCGCGGTGGTGCATGCCTGTAATCCCAGCAGCTAGGGAGGCTGAGGCAGGAGGATTGCAAGTTCAAAGCCAGTCTCAGCAACAGTGAGGGCCTATACAACTCAGTGAGGCCCTGTCTCTAGATAAAATACAAACAGAGCTGGGGATGTGGCTCAGTGGTCGAGTGCCCCTGAGTTCAATCCCTGGTACCAAAAGAAAAAGAAGAGGAAGCAGGGAAGAGGCCAGGAAGCTGAGACTCCTGTTATCAGGGTGTTCCTGGAGGAGATGGACTGGCTCGGAAGAACCCCATGATAAAGGGCAGAATTCCAGGTGGCAGAAAGAGATGTGTTGACAGAGGAACTCTGAGCTAATGTTGGAGTGAGGACCCAGCCCTGCAGAGGGATGTAGCCATGATCCCAGATGGTGCTGGAGCCACACATTCCTAAGGTGGCCTGAGGAGGACACTTCAGCATGGTTTCTGTGAACCTGAGCCTCTGGGGGCTGCCACACTGAGTTGATTCAAATCTATAAGCTCAGTGGAAAAGAGCCTCTGTCCATATGAGCGGGTCTCCTGTGGACTGCACTGGTACTCTAGGACACTGACATGGTGACCTCACACCACTTTCCTTTCTCCAGTTGGTCCCTCCCTCAGCCCCGTAGCTAGGCCAAGCTGGCTTTTTGTCATACAGAAAGCGGGATCTGAAAGATTCCTTTTTTTTTTGTATTGGAGTTGAACCACAGTCCTTTTTATTTTGTATTTTGAGACAGGGTCGTACTAAGTTGCTTGGGGGTTCACTAGGTTGCTGAGGCTGACCTTGAACTTGCCATCCTCCTGCCTTAGCCTCCTGAGTTGCTGGGATCACAGGCGTGCACCACTGCGGGATCTGAGAGGTTCTTGGGAGTGGTAGAAACTCTGGATGGCTGAGCCAGTTAGCTTACAAATTGTTAGGTTAAATGCTTGATTCTGGCATTAACAAGCTAATACACCATAAGTATAAGCCTATCCTTGGGCAGGGGTGGGATAGGGTGGACGGAGGGGATTTTTGGCAACAGGTATGAATGTCCCTTTTTTAGACAGAGCCTTATTCTTGGCTTTGGGTAGCAATTCAAAGGAAGGAGAGTTCAGAGTTCAGAACTTGGGGAGAGGTCGAGTGTTTAGCCGGAGGGAGGCTAAGGATGATGTGAGATTAAGAGCAGCGTGTTTGCCAAAGACACAAGAGTGGAGGGGAACTCTGGCAGAGGGCTGTGGAGCCAGGCTGTGATGGAGCTGAGCAGAAGAGGGATGGCACTTCATGTTAGGAGAAGCAGCTGCAGAAGGGTGCGATGCAGGAGTTGATGAGCCCAGGTTGGCCTGAGTGGGTGGAGGTGAGGAGGAGCAAGGGCTGAGGAGGATGTTGGGCCAGAGCACATAACTGTGCTTTTTGTTTTCAGTGTCACCAGTACATGACTTAAAATCTCACTCTTCACCTTTCTTTCCTCTTGGCCCCAACCGCATCTCCCCAGGGATCCAGCGAGGGGACTGGTCTGTCTGCCTTGCTTCCCCAGCCTAAAAACCTGACTGTGAAAGAGACCAACAGGTTGCTCCTGCCCCACGCCTTCTCCCGGAAACCCTCAGACGGCTCCTCCGACACCAAGCCCTCCAGACTGGCTGCAAAGGCCAAGCCTTCCTCTCTCGCTCCTGTCGTGGGCACCACAACCACCACTCCGTCACCCTCTGCCATCAAGGCTGCTGCCAAGAGTGCTGCCCTACAGGTGACAAAGCAGATCACGCAAGAGGAGGATGACAGTGACGAGGAAGTGGCCCCCGAGAACTTTTTCTCCCTCCCTGACAAGGCCGAGCCACCTGGAGTTGAGCCATACCCTTACCCTGTCCCCACGATCCCTGAAGAGCTGCCTCCAGGCACGGAACCAGAGCCGGCTTTCCAGGACGATGCAGCCAATGCCCCCCTTGAGTTCAAGATGGCAGCAGGCTCAAGTGGGGCCCCTTGGATGCCTAAGCCTGGGGACGACTACAGCTACAATCAGTTTTCCACATATGGCGATGCCAATGCTGCTGGTGCTTATTATCAGGTGAGGGCCACACACAGCAGGCCACAGAAGGTTTGAGCCAGTGGTATGACCATAAAAAACACTCCTTTATCCTGAACCTTACGAATCTAAGTCTGACAGAGTTGACAACATAATCAACACCCTTATTCTGTGTTGGCTTTCCATCACTGTGCCAAAATACTTGAGGTAATCAACTTAAAAAAAAAAAAAAAAGGAAGATTTATTTTTGGCTCACAGTTTTAGTCCTTGGTTATTTAAGCCTGTTGCTTTTGAACTTGTGACAGGACAGTACATCATGGTGGGAGTGTGTGGCAGAGGAAGCTGCTCATATCACTGTGGCTGGTGGCTGGGGTCCTGTATTCCTTCCAGGGGCCCACCCCCAGTGACCTAACTTCCTCTCACTAAGCCCCACCTCTTAAAGGCCCCACAACTTCTCAGTAGTGCCATGGAGCTGGCCACCAGGCTTTTTAAAAAAAAACCACAAGGATCTTAAGGGGAAACTTATTCAAATGATTTGCATTCTTTTTTTGTTTTTCCCCTGGTACTTTAGATTGCACCTAGGGGTGCTTTTACCCATCCCCTGCATTTTTCATTTTATTTATTTATTTATTTTTTTTGAGGCAGGGTTTCACTAAGTTGACCAGACTGGCCTTGAACTTGAGATCCTCTTGTGTCAGTCTCTTGAGAACCTGGGATTACAGGTGTGTGCCACTGCACCTGACCCCAAACTGTAGCATTCTGAAAACCAAATCTTATTGTAGGAGTTGGTGAGAGGTTAAGGAGAAGGTAGGAGAGGAGCAGCTTCTCATCTTAGAAAATGGGCTCCTCAAATTTGGAGGATGAGGGTTAGGATTAGTGTACACTTCCAGATGGCAGTCAGGAAGGGTCTCCGGAGGTGTGGCAAATCTTGAGACAACAGGGAAGGCCAGGTGTGGTGAGACAGCCTGTAATTCCAGTGACTCAGGAAGCTGAGGCAAGAGGTTCACAAATGCAAGGCCAGCCTGGGCAACTGAGGCTGTCTCCAAAAAGTGAAAAGGGCTGGGGCTGAATCTTAGTGGTAGAACACCCCTGGGTTCAGTCTCCAGTGCCAGAAAGAGAAATAGGGAAGGAAGACTCCCAGCAGTCAGAACTTCCCAGAAGGGGGGCTGTGGGGGGAGCTCCTAGAGTTGGGCTCAGGTGATGGTTGAGCAGGAGGGTAGCTGGCCCCTGACTGGCAGTTGCAGGAAATTTTACTGCCCACCTGGGATGGTTTGAAGGGGATTTAAGTCCCCCTCGTCCACCGTGATTCTCTGAATTGGTCATTGTTAATCTTATATTCAGTCTGGGTGTGGGTAGGGAAAGAGGGCTTCAGGGGGACCCTGTTCTGACCAAAGACTTTGAAAACAGTTGTGTTCCCTAAATCTTTGCTCCTAAACTTTACTGTATCTTGTAGACAGATCAGAGACTGTGTCTCCCCTCAGGGCTATTATTAGGAGGAAGGAGAAAGATAATAGGAGGGTTTGGGCTTTTTTTTTTTTTTTGCAGTACTAGGGATTGAACTCAGGGTCCTCATGCATGTTAGGCAAGCGTTATATTCCCAGCCCTTTTAAAGTTTTTATTTTGAGACAGGATCTTGATAAGTTGCTGAAACTGGCCTTGAACTTGTGGTCTTTCTGCCTAAGCCTCCCGAGTCCTTGAGGTTACACTGTGTACCACCATGCCTGGTAAAGCACTTTTGAGTATTCTAAGGGACCCTGAAATTGAAATGTATCTTTTTGTGAATGCTACTATAGAAAATCCATAATTCTTAATTGTGCTGGAATTTTTGTATATTCTTGTGTAGTGAAAATTAAACAGTTTTCCATTTAACTCATTAGAAAATGTATGTTCCTAGATGGATAGAAATTTATTGGAGCTTTGGGTAAAAGTGAAAGAATTAGGGAAAATAGTGTAGGCAAGGAGGAAAGAGGAACCCAGTTTCTGGGTTCTCTGGTGGCCTAACTTGGCCAGAGCGGGGCTGGGAGGGGTGTTTCTTCCACCCGTCTTCCTCTGGGGTCTACAGCAACGACTGAGCACCCCAAGTCTGAGGGGAATCATTAGATTCCTGCAGCAAAAATATGGTAACACAAACCTAGTTTGTCCTAGCTTTGTAAGTTCAACAATATTTCAATAGTGATTTATTTAATATCAGAGATCCACAGCCTCCTCCTCCCTGTGGACGGTCTCCTTGTGTCCAGAGGGCCTAAGTGGGGTGAGGAGCAGGGGGCACGGCGCCTGCCTCGTCATGCTGGCGTCACACCATGGCCCAGTGGGTCTCACGAGTTGGGGGAGCTGGGCGAGGGAAGGGTGGGAGTTGCCTCAGGTAGCAATGAGGGAGCAAGGCACAGATTGAAGGAGGAGAGAATGTCTTTATTTCTTGCTGTCCTTCCCTAAAAACCTCCCATCTGTCTGGATAGTTCAGATCAGAAAGTGCAGGAATGTTGGTGGGTTAGCGGGTGGGTCCTTGGATCTGCGTCTTTAGCTGCTTCATCTGAGGGGCCACCTTGTCAGCGCCTGTTTCTGGGCCAACCTTGTCTCATCTCCATGTCTTCACTTGATGTGTTCTTTTCCCCTCCGGCCACAGGACTATTACAGTGGTGGCTACTATCCTGCACAGGACCCGGCTCTGGTTCCCTCCCAGGAAATTGCCCCAGATGCCTCCTTCATCGATGACGAAGCAGTAAGTTAACAAAGCACACATGACTTTTTTTGTGTCCTGCAGCTGTCAGAACCACATTCAAGATTCAAAGCACTATCCTTTTGGTAGGGAAGGCACCGCTTAGTAGAAGGGATCTAGACGCGGGAATCGCCAACCTCTCGGTGGAGGTTCTTAGATGGGCATGGTAGTCTCCCAGCCACTTGGGCGGCTGAGGTAGGTGGATCACAAATTTGAGGTTGGCCTGGGCAACTTAGTGAGACCCTGTCTCAAAATGAAAAAAAAAAAAAAAAAAGTGGGCTGGGGATGTGGCTCAGTGGTGGGGTGCCCCTGGGTTCATCCCCAGTTTCACACACACAGCCTCTACTTACCTTCCTTTAGAAAGGAGTTCGTCGCTTTGCACACTTCTGCCTGTTGTTGATGTTGTGTTCTTCCACAGCCTCTTGGCAAGTGCAGAGTGAGTCATTAGGTCCTATTGCTCCTCAGCCTAGGGGCAGTTGGGTACCCGTTCAGTGGTCACATTCAGTTTTTAGTAGGTAGAGCAAGCTTGGAGGCATCACTAATGTTCAGATCAGGACCTGGGTCTTACTGAAGTTTTGGGGTGCTTTAATTCCCCTTGCTCCACGCTCCCCTCCAGGCACATCTCTGACTCGGGTGACTTGCCATTTTTCTGGAGGAGAAGGAGGAGGAGGAGGAAAGTCTCCTGGAGAATTTGGTGGGCCCTTTTTGTGAGGCTCCCCAACCCAGCTCCACATTCTCCCTTCCATGTCCACTGCTGATTGGTGATATTGAACTAGTGAGTAGTACCAGAGGTGGAAAGAGAACTGAGTTTTAGAGGAGAAATCTTGGATTTTTTTTTTTTTTTTTAATATTTATTTTTTAGTTTTCGGCAGACACAACATCTTTGTTTGTATGTGGTGCTGAGGATTGAACCCGGGCTGCACGCATGCCAGGCGAGCGCACTACCGCCTGAGCCACCTCCCTAGCCCGATTTTTTTTTTTTTAACAACCTGAATTCTTTTTTTTTTTTTTTAAGACGTTGATGGACATTTATTTATATATGGTGCTGAGAATCGCACCCAGTGCCTCACACATACTAGGCAGGTGCTCTGCCACTGAGCCACAACCTCAGCCTCTACTTGTTTGTGTTTGACATGGTCTCTTTATGTTGTTCAGAATGGTCTTGGAGTCTTGGGCTCAAGCAGTTCTCCTGCCTTAGCCTCCCAGATAGCTGGGTGTTTAGGTGTGCAGCACCATACCCAGCTTTCCCTAAATTCTTTTATTTTTTTTCATTTGATTTATTTATTTTGGGTGTGTGTATGGTTCTGGGGATTGAACCCAGGACCTCAAGAATGCTATGCAAGCTCTCTATTACTGAACCACATCCCCAGCCCCTTACCTTAAATTTTTATTGTGCAAATTGTACCCAGTCCTTTTAGGCAGATACAGTTTATACATCATTTGAGTACAGATTTATTCTGCTGGGTCTCTGTACTTGTTCATATTTGGGGACACCTTTTGTCTTCCCTTTCTTGGGGTCCAAGAGACCCTGTGAGAAGCAGGCCTTTCATCTTCTGTCAAGAGAGCTTGGTAGATGGCAGGTGAAAGGACATGTTGCAAAGAGGAATTGAGAGTGTGGTAGGATTGGTGAGTCACAAAGTCATAGCTGGGTATGTGGTACACTCCTGTAACCCCAGTGACTCAGGAGGCTGAGGCAGGAGGATTGAAAGTGCCAAACCAGTCTAGGCAACTTATCAAGACTCTGTCTCAAAATAAAAAATAAATAGGTGCCTGTAATCCCAGGGGCTTGGGAGGCTGAGTTAGGAGGATCAAGAGTGCAAAGCCAGCCTCAGCAAAAGTGAGGCGCTAAGCAACTCAGTGAGACCCTAAGCAACTCAGTGAGACCCTGTCTCCAAATAAAATACAAAATAGGGTTGGGGATGTGGCTCAGTGGTCGAGTGCTCCTGAGTTCAATCCCCAGTACACACCCCTGCCAAAAAAATTATTGGTGGGGATATAGCTTAGTGGTAGACCACCCCTGGGTTCAATCCCAGTACTGCAAATAACAAAGTCATTCCAAAAACTCTAGATCTTTAGTGACATCTCTTGATCTCCTCACCTGGGTTCTTAACTCCTGCATTTTCTTCTTCTTTCCCAGTTTAAACGGCTGCAGGGCAAGAGGAACCGAGGGAGGGAGGAAATCAACTTTGTAGAGATCAAAGGTGATGACCAGCTCAGTGGGGCCCAGCAGTGGATGACCAAGTCATTAACAGAAGAGAAAACCATGAAGTCATTCAGCAAAGTAAGTGGGAAAGGCATATTGGGTGACCAGTTTGGGAAGCTTCAAAACAAAATCTTGTCCTACTCGCTGCCCAGCCCCATATGCACCATTATAGCCACATCATTAACAAACACTTGTTGCACATGGTCCTGGAGTATGAACCAAGCCTCACAGCTATACCTCTGGATTCTAGAACTTTCCAGCATTTTAACTGCACTCTGTCTGGATGGTGGAGTCTGGTTGTGAAGAGTGGTTGGTTGGAGCACTGCTGTGGGAAGATCTCTGATGTGTTGTGGCTTCCTTCCTGGGCTGGTCAGAGCCCGCAGCCACTCTGTGCTCTCCTGTAGTCTCATTTCTGTCCCCCTCCTGGTAAGCTGGGTCCTGTCTCAGCACATCTTTAAGGAGTGGGCTCAACAGAGCCTGAGAGTGCTAGGGTCCCTAGGTCCTGAGAATGCAGCTCGTCCTCGCTCCTTCTCTCCATTATTTATTGTAGCCAGCTGTGGTCTTTCCAAATGCTTTTCTTCCTCACGTTTCCCAGCCCATGCCCGGCCTTCTCTGTGCTAGTTTTCTACAGTGTGATGAACATCTCTTCACCCAGAGCTGAGTAGAGCAACTGTGGACATTTACGAGCTTGCCACAGGGGGGAATATGCGGGGAAGCCCTGGATTTGAGCCCAGCACCAGCGAGGCCAAAGTCAAAGATTTTACCCCTGCTCGCCCATTTGCTTTGCTTTGTTCTGTGGCCACAGATGGCCATCCAAGCCCCAGCCGTTTGTTTTAACTGAATGCTGGCGGTCATACAGGACAGAGCAAAGGATTGTGGTTAGATCAGCATAGATCCATCACTGTTTACTGGAAAAACCACTTAGGAGAGCATGCTCTACTAACTGCGAGCCAAGAAGCATCATCACATAGTAATGGCTGTTGTTGTTAGCACTCACCGTGGGCCAGGAATGGCAGTGATGTTTTATGTATATCATCTTTAACTGTCACATTAAATGACATGCAGTAATAGCGTGGAGTTAGAATATGCTTTTTTCCCAGCTCCTGGTTTTCTCCCCATCATCTCATTGTAGTGAACTAGCTTTTTAAAATGAAGATATGGTCCCCGTCCTTGAGGAGTTGATAGTGTGTAGTTGGGAAGAAGAGATTTAAGGACACTTGAGTGTAAATGATTACAGCGCAAATTGATTACATAAGTGCTGAGGAGACTCTGGAGAGGAGTTTTGAGAGTTGGGTGGGGTTCGCTAGGAAGCTTCTAGCCTGAGACAGCTCAGGCAGAGAATAGAAAAACCACAGAATGAAAGCCCAGGCCAGCATAGACTTTGACAGTAAATCGTTTACATCAAAGTTTGGCTAGGCGTTCAGTGCAGTGGTAGGCAGAGATTGGAGGACTGGAGAGAAGTGGAGTCATTGTGAAATTTCTAATTCCAAGGAAGCTGTTGGTACCTTCTAGAATGGGTGAAGTGGGGTTTCAGCCAGAAATGATTGATGGGAGAGTTTGGTAAGCAGTAGGTAGGAGACAGACTAGACATCTGGCCTGACTGAGGAGAAGGGAACAGAGATGAAGAGATTTTAAGGGGGAGATGGGCACAGGGATTGTGAGGAGTTCTTGGAGGGAGGGCAGAAGATTGTCACCTGTGCCCTGGCACTTAGCTATCAGACAAGCTGCTGGCATAAAGGTGGTCTCGGGTGCCCTGAGCTTAGGGTGGAGGAGGTGGGGGTTACCAAAGAAACAAGATGGTCCTGACCTCAAAGTATTTCCAGCCTAATGGGGATATTAGCAGCCTGTTTCAGCAGTGATTCTGAGCTTGGGCTTTTTGCATAATGACTTTAGTAAAAATAACTGTTTTGTAAGTATATAGACATAAAAACAGCTCTACACTGACTTCTCTCCCATAGGATTTGGGCTGTGTAATTTGTTTTTCAGTCCCCAGCCTGCACAGTATAGGCACTTGAGAAACTTCTGCTTCTCTTCTTGTGGGTTAAGGTCTGTATTTTCTTCCCTTGCAGAAGAAAGGCGAGCAGCCAACAGGCCAGCAGCGGCGGAAACACCAGATCACGTATCTGATTCATCAGGTGAGAAGGCAGGAGGCCTGGGCCAGGCAGGATCCCCTAGACCTGGGAATTGAGATCTGGGTTAAGAGTAAGAAGCCCACATATAGGACCAGCTTCCAGCAGCATCCTCCCCTGTTCTCTGTGTGGCCACCAGGGGGAGATGTGTCCTTCAGTATCATCCTGTTCTACCTCTTATTGCACAGAGGACTGAGTTACAGGTGCTTAGAACAGACTCCAGAAGAGCCTGTCTGGTGGGGTCTGCTTCTAAGCCTAACAGTTCGGGAGGCTGAGTCAGGAGAATTGTGAGTTCAAAGCCAGCCTCAGCAGAGGCAAGGTGAGGCACTAAACAACTCAGTGAGACCCTGTCTCTAAATAAAATACAAAATAGGGCTGGGGATGTGGCTCAGTGGTCAAGTGCCTCTGAGTTCAGTCCCTGATACACACACACAAAAAAGAATAGACTCCAGAAGAGAAAATTCAGATATCCAAAACACAGTTTAAGAGGAGGGTGAAGGGCTGGGGCTATATCTCAGTTGGTACAGTGCTTGCTTTGCATGCACAAGGCTCTGGGTTCGATCCCCAGCACCAAAAAAAAAAAAAAAAAAAAAGGGAGAGTGAAATAGTTTATCATAAGGTCCTTTTAGATAGTAAATTTATCTAATAATTTTTAAAAACCTAAGAAAAAATTGATTCACAAATTTGACCTTTACCTAAAAAGGTCCATTTGTATTTGCCAACACAAATTTTAGAATTCTAGATAATCCAAAAAATGTGTTTGGGAATATGTCTTGGTACTATTTTCAAATCCTTAAACATCCTTTTGAGACCCACAGTACTGAAAGCTGTCAGAGGTACAGACAAGAACATGAGGCGCTTCCTGGCTATGTCCTAAGGGGTGTGCATTCTGGTTGGTGGTTTCAATGGCAAATCTTGCTTTCATGGTCCTTGTCATAGTTTTATCTTCCTTTTCAGGAACTCGTTTGTGCTCTTTCCCCATATTGTAATTTTTAGGGGACGAATTTGAGGGTAGAGTCTTTTCTAAACCCAAACTCTTACTGTCTTCCCCAGCACGTCTAGGAGAAATGAGCAGGCATCAGATAACATTGGGGATTGGGGAGCCCCCTTATCAGGATGGTGCTTGTACATTCCCAGAAGAGCCAGGAGATATTGAGATCAGAAGAGAGAAGTCATTTTTCTAGTACCAGTAGAATTTTTCACAGCTCTAAAAGATTACTTTAAAATGATGTGGTTGGGCGCCTGTAAACCCAGCGACTGGGGAGGCCGAGGCAGGAGGATTGCAAGTTCCAGGCCAGCCTGGACAACTTAGTGAGACCCTCTCTCAAAAACCAAAAAGGACTGAGGAATGTAGCTCAGTGGTAGAGCACCCCTGGGTTTAATCCTCAGTACTGGGGTGGGGCAGGGGGAGGTACGAATTTTTGGAGTGCAACATGTGTTATATTCAACACAACAGCAAACCTCTTTTTTAGACTTAAGTTCTGGTTGTTTGGCATCCTGTGGTGACCTCTCCAAGTCTCTGAGACTGTCCTTTCCTGGTCTGCTGGTTGAGTAACTGAGGTATCTGATTTAGATGCCAGCTTCTAGTTCTCCTTTTTCCATTTCCCACTTGAACGTCTCAGTTTTAATTCTACCAGAGCAAGCACAAGGATTCTTGAGTCCTTGTTCTGCTTGAGCCTTGTTAGCTCTCCAAAGAGATGATTTTTCTTTGCTTTTTTGTGGTCTTCTCCTTTGTGGATAAGAGAAAATGAAGTCTTTCAAGGGATTTGTTCTTTCTTTTTTTTAGTTGCCAATGGATTTTTCGCTTTATTTATTTATTTATATGTGGTGCTGAGGATCGAACCCAGGGCCTCTCACATGCCAGGCGAGTGCTCTACCGCTGAGCGACAGCCCCAGCCCAAGGGATTTGTTCTTTTCCCGTAATTGTTATTATGGGAGAAAGTCTGTGTGTGTACGCGCACACAGGGGTACTGGGGATTGAACTTGGGGCACTACCACTGAGCTACATCCCTAGCCCTTTTATTTTTTATTTTATTTTTTTTTTTAATTTTAAGATAGGGTCCTACTTAGTTGTCCAGGCTGACCTCAAACTTGACATCCTCCTTGCTCTTCCTCCGTAGTGGCTGGAATTACAGGTGTGTGGCACAGTGAAAATCTTGCTGGGAGAAAGATTTTCAGTTGGGAAGCTCACAGAGATGAGAGGAAAATGTCTTTCATGATTCTGGTTTAAGGGCTGGCAGTGTGCTTGCTCAGCATGTATAAGGCCCTGGGTCCAGTTCCTAGCATCGTACGTCTACACAGATGCTATTGTGACAGCCCTCACCCCTTCTTCCTTGCCACAGGCTAAGGAGCGGGAGCTGGAACTGAAGAACACCTGGTCAGAGAACAAGCTCAGCCGCCGGCAGACCCAAGCCAAATACGGATTCTAGGGCTTTGGAACTGATGCTCCCAGGATCTCCTGCCAGCCTAGTTGGCCCAGCCCCCAGCTTCACCTCTGGGACCCCAGCTGCTCTAAGCCCAGGATGTCTTTCCCTGAGGACCCAGCCCTCGCCTCTGCGAGAATGAACATATTTGATAGATTTTTCTTAACAAGTTAGAAAATTGAGCTCCTGTCCGTGTTGGAGCTAGCAGACTGAGTGATGCCGCTGGAGGGGCTCCGAGTTCTCGGGTGGGAGTCTTGCTCCCTGTCAGGTGTGATGAAATGTTGAACTCTCCCCTACCTTTTTTTTTTTTTTTTTTTTTAAGCCAGGGATGTCTGTTGAAATAAAACATTCAGTCTGACAGACGCTGCCCTCCTGCGCCTGGACCTCAGTGTGGTGTCTGTGTGCAGCGTCCCTGCAGAGGGCCTTGAGCTGCCTTGGAAAGTGCGTTGCTTTTTCCCAATGGCCACAACTGGGTTCATGACCTTCGAAGACCCTAGAATTGCAAGGTTTTATCCGGGTCAAGATGATTTTTCAAAGGGGCCTGTGATCCCAAATAGAGAAAATGATGCTGATCTCAAGTGCCTCTGGAGATGGGGGACATCCTGAGGTTCCTTCTGTGGCATGAAAGTGCTAATGATTAGATATGAGATGACATCCAGCAGGCAGTGGTGCAATTCCTCTTCCTAACGGTGAATCACATTTACACTGATGTCATTGACCTGAGCTCTTCCAAAAGCTTAAGGTAAAGCATGAGGGCTGGACACACCTCAGAGACTCCCCAGTTCCCAGCCTCTGTTGGGGAATGGAGGTGGCAGGGCCTACAGGTTTCAGTTAGCTGAGGGGCTCTGCGATGAAGGGACAGGACAGATGGCATGATTTCTTTATCTCAGAGCAAGTTTCAGGTGGGGATGGTCATAAAAACAGTGTGCCACTCGTACTGTGAACCTCCACTGAAACACACTGTCAGGTGCTGGGACTCCAGGAGAACTTAGCTGCCAGGTTTCCGGCAAGAAAGGAGAGCTGAAGAAGGTCAGTCACGCCCTGATGCTCGAGTCCTGTTTCAGGGAAACACAGGGAGAGTTAGCATTCTGCAAGACTAAGGCCAGGGGGCAGTTTGAAGAGGCGCGTGGTGGGTACTTGGGGATGGGAGGGGGAGGCAGAGGGTGGCATCTCGTGCTTCTGGTGTGTGCGCTGGGGTAAGTTGAGGAGGCTGTTTCTCATTAAGCACACTGGAGGGTTCCGTCACTTACAGGAAAACCACCCGCTTATCTGAAATCTGACCTACTTCGGGTAGGAGCCAGACAGGGCTCCTGCGTCCCACAGGGACACTTAGGCTGTACTTGTCCAAATCTTTGAATCCAGCCAGCCTTCAGCTAGGAGCATCAGCCCTCAACACATGCCCACTGTCCACAGAGGAGCTGGGGCCAGGCTGAGATCCGCCCCTGCTAGGTGTCAAAGGTGGGTGAGGTGGCGCAGCAGAGCACAGGAGGCTGAGGTCCTCCTGAGTCATGCTTGCTCTCCTGGGCCCATGCTGTAGTAGAGCCTTTCCTGTCTTGAGTTGCCATGCTCCTGGGATTCAGAAGTCTAACTTCTTTTATTTTATTTAGTATTTTTAGTTGTGCATGGAAGCAGCATCTTTGTTGATCTACTTTTATGTGGTGTTGAGGGTCGAACCCAGTGCCTTAACACATGGGAGGCAAGTGCTTTACCGCTGAGCCATACCCCAGCCCCCCAAAAGTTTAACTTATTTTAGGGGCTGCTCCAAGGTGTGGCAGGAAATGTTCTTTGGGCTGGGATGGAGGGACATGGGAAGAGAAAGTCCCAGTGTCTTTTGGGGATGGGCAGAATCAGACCAGTTCACTCTTAAGGGGCTTCTTGCCTTCCACTCTGAGTTTTTGGTGGTCCTAGGGATTGAAATCATGGTCTCACATATGCTAGGCCGGCGCTCTGCTGCTGAGCTACATTCCTCCTCACCTTCATTTCTCAAGAAGTCTTACGTATATATTTTCAAAGCCGCTTTTTTGTCCTACCAAAGATGGCATTTTATTTAGTGGTTGTAATTTTCTGGTCACAAACAAATGCTAGCAGTGTAGAAGGTGAACAGACTCCATCGCAGGCCTTCTGGAGGTTCTGATAGTGGGAAAGAGGAGACGGGTGAGGGAGAGATAAGGAGCAATAGGACTGATCTTGGATAAACTGTCTTGGCAGCATCAGCCACAGGGCTGGAGGAGGAAGGACTGAGGGTCTTGGTCAGGAGTGGGTCCATGTGGTCCTGGAAGCTGTTGGGGGGACCAGGGCAGAGCCGAGCAAGCAGTGCTGCATTGACTGGGAAGCTGAGGTCTAAGGATCAGCCTTGCACATGGTGGGGACAGCAACGTTGTCCTGTGGAGGGTGTTTCAGTGTTGCTGGCTCCTGGGCAAGGACCCAGCCAGGTCTTCACCCCAGCTGCCTGCTGAGCAGAATGTGAAGTGCTGCGGAAGGGGACAGCTGAGTTTACAAGTTCCGTTTCTCAGTTCCCGTCTGCCAGCGACCCCCAGAGGTCCAGGCGGCCTTAGGAAACATTCTGCATTAACTAAAGGAAAAGATGGAATGAAAGGGGCACCTGGGGAGAAGGGAGCGGGAAGAAGATAATGAGGGCCATCACCGTCAACCATGGTGCTGAAGGGGCCAAAAACTGGACTAGGCAGTGGGAACAATGAACTTGGCTCACAGCAAGGACTTCCACGTGCTCTGGGGGTGAGAGGCTCTCCTGCCGACCTAGGAGTGGGCCGAGTCACATAGGTCCTGCGAGGCAGGAGGGACGTAATGGCCCTGGGAAGATTGAGTCAGCTTAGAGGTGCCCTCCCCCTCCTAGCATTAGTGGTGTCTGACTGGGGACACAGGAACCTGCTCAGCATAATCATCCCGGTTCCCTTTTCCTGTGCAAGTTCCTCACCTTCATCCTGAGGTCTCACTGCAACCCAGGCCTCAGCTTGGTAGGAAAGGCAGGGTTAGAGTCAGCGGTGGGGAGAGTTGTTCACCACCGTGGTCTGCAGGCCTGGCTGCTGCTGGAGCCCTCTAGGACTCGGACCTTGTCCTGCTGCCTGCAAGGCACCTTATGCTGTCAGAATGCTGGTCTGGGATGACAGAATCTGGGCACTGGGCCCGACTGCCTCCAGCTCTGTCACCTCCCATCTCTAGAGCTCCACTTCCTCTCTGGTTGCACCCAAACTCCCATCTTGAAGGCTCCCTGAAGTTCCTCTGTGCCTAGCAGGCCCGCTTCAGATCCTTTCGCTTGCATGGTCTCCGTTTCACAAGAAGTGGTGACAGTACCACCGAACAAGGGCCTAAGGCTGCACAGCTGGTTAGCACAGCACTCCGACAGGCTTCTGATGACTCCTCATTGTCTGCATTCTCCTGCCACCCCTCACCGTGGAAGGGAAAAGGAGGCCATCCGAGGTCCCACCATGCTCGCCTCGTAGAAATATCAAGAGGGCCTCTGGGTTTCCCTATCCCACCCACACCTGCCCATTCGTTATATCCTGAAGTCTGGGGAAGTCTTTGTTTTCTGACCCTGCCTTGCCTAACAAGTGTGAGAGGCCCTGGGTTCAATCCTCAGGACCACTGACCTCTTAACCCCCATCCCCAGAACCACTGACACACACCTGTAATCCCAGAGGTTGAGACAGGAGGATCCCAAGTATGAGGTCAGCCTCAGCAAAGCTTTGTCTCAAAATTATAAAAAAGGGCTGGGTGTGATGGCGAATGCTTGTAATCCTAGGAGTTTTGGAGGCTGAGGCAGGAGGATTGCAAGTTCAAAGCCAGCCTCAGCAATTTAGTGAGGCCCTGAGCAACTTAGTGAGACTCACTCTAAAAATACATATATATATATATATATATATAATATATATATATATATATATAAAAGGGCTGGAGATGTAGCTCAGTGGTAAGGCTCCCCTGGATTCAATTCCCAGTTTCAAAAAACCAAAAAAACAGCCACTCTTTTCTGCCTCCTCCTTCTTCCACAAGGAATCAGCCAGGAGGCCACTCCTTGAGTCTACCCTGAGAGCTTTCTTGCACTTTCAGCCTCCTACCCATCTCAGCAGAGCCATCTGCTCCCCAGGCCCCTCCTCCTTTCGCTCAGGAGGGGTTCAGACCTACAGACAAAGGAAGTGGAACCCCAACTGTTGACTCAGCATTCCTGTTTCTCCTTCAGCTGATTCGCGCTGGAGTGGAAAGGAGGGAACTGGCTAGTCACTGGAGCTGGCGCCTGGGCCAGGCTGGGGGTGGTGTGGCAGCAGTGCCCAGGCCTAGGGAAGGTAGCCGGGGACAGGGGGCTGCAGAGTCACTGTGCCCTGGGGTCTCCCACCCACAGCCATCAGACCTCATCCTCTTGCTCTGCACCCTGGCAGGAAGTGGGACCCTGACAGGCACGACTGCAGAGACAGTGTGTGAGAACAGGCAGTGCGGAGGGGAGGGGCCCAGCATAACCCCGACCCCAGGGGGACCTGGGGACCATCCTGAACAAACAGCCCTTCCTCAGAAAGCCAAGACAAAACTGAAACCCAGGGCAGATGCTTATAGGTGGTTGGAGCCCCAGTGGAGCTTTGCTAGCCCTGAAGTAGGTCTGGACAAAGAAGCTCACAAAAGGAGCCGGGGAGGGAGTGGGGTCCTGAGTGAGGCAAAGGGCCCAAACCCAGGAGGCTCAGGAGACAGAAATGCCCTGGAGCCATTTCAGGGATTCACGGCACATACACAGAGGCTTAAAAGGCACCTTCCTCCTCCCCAGTCCCAAGCTTTGCACAGGGTCTAGGAAGGAGGTGAAGGGGCTACCCTTCAGTCATTCCCATCCCTGCTCATTTCTGTGTGTGTGTGTGTGTGTGTGCACGCGACTGAATCCAGCAGAACACTTTACCACTGAGTTATATCTCCAGCATTTTTTTTTTTTGATGGTGCTGGGGATCGAACCCAGGGCCTTGTGCATGCAAGGCAAGCACTCTACCAACTGAGCTATAGCCCCAGCCCCTATTTCCAGTATTTTTTATTTGGAGTCAGGGTCTCACTAAATTGGTAAGGGTTTCCCTAAATTGCTGAGACTGGCCCTGAATTTGCAATCCTCCTGCCTCAAGCCTTCTGAATAGCAGGGATTACAGGCATGTGCCACTGCACCTGGCTTTGCACCTCTATCTTTACTGGCACTGGCTAGTTCATGCAGCTTCCTCACTCCCCCAGCCCTTAGGACTCAGTCCCCCACCCACTACTTTGGGCAGGGATACTTTGCAGAGAGAGGCCTGCCGCCTGTGCCCTGGGGTGGGGTCTCCCACCCACAGCCAGCAGACCTCATGCTCTTGCCCAGGTGTCTTTCAACTCCTAGATCCCTCTGTCCCTGCAGCATTGGCAGTTCAGCCACAACAAAAGAGACAGAGAGAGAGAGAGAGAGAGAGAGAGAGAGAGAGAGAGAGAGAGAGAGAGAGAGAGAGAAGGAGCCTGGAGAACTTGGATCCCTGTGGGGGGAGGTTGTTGGCGATGATTTATTAGCCAGACAAGAATCAACAAACAAGTTCTAACATCTGTTCTCACCAAACCATTCCTCAGACAACAGCAGCATTGGACTGGGGCCCAGACTCAAAGGCCCAGAGGGCCAAGGAAATTAGACTCCAGGAGGAGAAACCAGGGCAGCAGGAGCCAGAGGGCCCTGGTAGCACACTACTTTGCTGTCTTAGAGGATCACCAAGCATCAAGCCACTGGATTTCTGGTGACTCTCAGCAGTCAGTGTGTGTGTCCCTAAGAGGAGGAGGCAGATTCCACATTTGCTCCTCTGAAGTCCAGTTTTTTTTGTTTTTTTTTAATTGTGTGTGTGAGAGGGCAGACCTGTCAGGGGACAGGGCTAAGTCAGGATCCAGGAGAGGAACCCAGCACTCAGACCCCGACATGGCAGAAGTCTGGAAAAGCAGCCAGGTTTCCTATCTGAGGAAGTCTCTGATGTTTCCTATGGAGAGAGTTAGAGGATAGGGGGTAAGGAATAGACTCTGAACAAGGAAGTCAGGAAACCTGTGTTTTAGTCCTTGACCTTGACCCAGTCACTATCCCTCTCTGGCTTTGCTTCCTTATCTGCACAGGAGGGAGCTGGACTTGATCAGTAAGGGCAGATGAAACACTGCTCCTCCTCCCTCCAGCATCACTAGCAGACATCACTAATCAATCATGGTGCTCCTTTCTGCTGAGTTCAGGTATGACCTTAGCATCCTTTCCAATGCAGCTCGCTAGGCAGCCACGACCAACGGATTGGAGTTGGCATGCAAGATGACACCTCTTTGCCATCCTTGCAATAGATGAAGGCTGAGGTTCTTTCCAGTTTTGATCACCTTTATATACCATCCACATTTCCTGAGAAGGACACCCAGCATGTGTGTGTGAAGGTCTCTGGACCTGATATCCCAAGTTTTCCCCCAACCAGCTCAGACTTACCACTTATAGAGGAGGCCCAACGGGGAGCCATGCCTGTCCTCAGTCCTGAAGCACCTGTCTAGAGAGGTTGTGGGGAAGGGTGTGCCTCCAGGGGAGTGGAGGCTGCTGAGGCAGGGGAGGGCCTTGTCCAGCCCCAGAATTCTCAGAGTGCCTCTGTGGACCACCTGGATTCTGCAGAGAGAAGGACAGTCCTAGGTCACACATCTTAGGCCTAGATGCAGTCTCAAGGGCAAAGTCATCTGGGCTTAACAGACTTGCCCTCCAGAGGGAGAATCTAAAATCCTCTCATTCATTTAGCAAGCAGGATATGGAACACAGAAGGAAACAATTTGAGGGGCAAGGATTGGCAGTGTGGAGTTTGTGGGACACTGGAGAGTGAACCAGACCACAGAGAAGTTTGGATAGTGACATGGACTGGTGACATCAGCTCCTGGCAGGAGTGTGTGTGGGGGTGTGGGCGTGGGCAGGCACAAGGGCTGAGGGGGAGTCTGTGGCTCCAGCAGGGAGGGATGGTGAGCAAGGAGGGAGATGGAGATAGAGGGAGAAGGTGGTCCTGGCCAGTGGGTCTAACACATTATGTGACAATAGGTAACCTAGACAGGGACTTGAACTCATCAGTGGGAGGACGGCGTGGGAGGATGGAAGAGGGAGGCAGGAGTGCGTGTGCCCCTCCCCTGAACGCATCTGAGATGACACACAGGACTGGAGCGCTGACCCCGGAAGAGGAGAGGCGCTAGTTTGGGGCTGGGAAAAGGGGTCAGGCAGTCTGGACCTTTGTGTCCCTCCCCCTCGCCGGGGGTAAAGACCTCGCCCAGCACCCACTCTGAATACCTTCTCCATCCTCCTCAAACTATGGCGCGGGAAGTCCTTCTTGGACTCCTTCTCCCTGCACCCTCATTTACCTGGCCTCCTGGGACAGGCCTGGATAGGCACTTGCGGAGGACGCGGTGCCCAGCGGACGCCGTCGCTGACAGACCTTCCACCTCGGCATAGATGTTGCTGGGGGCCTCCCCAGGGCTGCCCCGGCCCATGGCGTAGAAGGCGATGGGTTCCTCGGGCTCTTGGTAGATGGGGTGGGTGGGTTTGGGGGGTGGGACTGGGCGGGGTCGCGGGGCGGGGCTCGTGTAGAGTTCCGGGGGCAGTTGAGGTTTGGCGGGGACGGGAGGCTTGGTCCTGGGCGGCTGAGTGGGCTAGGAGGGAAGACGAGGCCAGGGAGGAAGGTCGGTGGGCGCAGCTGCCACCAGCCCGGCTCTCCTACCCTCTAGGCCCCTCCTCCTCCCCATGGCTCCTCCCCATGGCTCACCCCTCTCCTACTGGCCCCTCCCTGTGGCTCCACCCCTCCTCCTGGCCCCTCCCCGTGGCTCCACCCTCTCCTGCTGGCTCCTCCCCGTGGCTCCACCCCTCTCCTGCTGGCTCCGCCCTCTCTCAGGCCTCGCTGTCTCCTGCTGGTCCTGTGGCTCAAAGCGGTACCTCCTTGGGCTCCCGGGCCCCCTCTTTGTTTGGTAGGGCTGGAGCCTGCCCCTGTTGCATGTCTGGGTTGTGCTGGGGGCTTGGGTTCTGACTGTGGCTTCCAGAGTCTGACTCTTCAGTCCTGAGGGACAGCCCTGCGGGCTCAGGAGTCTGCTGGGAAATAAGCAGGGCTGAGGGACTTGATGCGGGAGGGGACGGGTGCCAGTGGGCAGGTGATTCAGGAGGACCAAGCAGTCTGGTCCAAGAGGAGGACAGGAGAGGAAAGAGACATAGAAATTTGGCCTGGGCTGGGTTCTCTGGGTGAGGAAGAGGGGATGGACATGGCAAGGAGGCTAGAGGTCAGATGGAGGGGGACAAACTCTGGTCATGGGCTATGTACACATCAAACTTAATTTCATCTGGAACATGGGACCAGGCCAATCTTCATTTGTGCCTGTGGTTGTCAAATACAAGAATGTGAAGTCTTGGTTTTGTGGTACTGGGTTTTCATTTTGAGACAGGGTCTCACTAAATTGCTAAGGGCCTCACTAAGTTGCTGAGGCTGGTCTTGAACTGTCAATACTCTTTCTTCAGTCTCCGGAGAGACTGGGATTATAGGCAAGCACTACCATGCCTGGCCCCAGCTCTTTTTTAGTTTTTTATTTTGAAACAGGTTTTGCTAAGTTGTCCACGTTGGCCTTGACCTTGTGATTCTCCTGCCTCAGCCTCCCCAGTCTCTGAGATTACTGGCACACACTACTGTGCCTGGCATGGCTTTAGAAAAGTCTTTAGCTTCAAAATTATCAGGATGGGAATGGATCTCCATGACAGCTGTGTCTGTGTTTAATTTCTGCATGAGCAATAAGCTTAATTTATGGAGATATAAGCTAAATTTTTAGGGGCAGAGACTGCCTGAAGAGAGATGAGCTTCACAGTGGGAAGGTCACATCCCATGGTAGGTGCTTTTAGCTCTGCATTAACCCTAGCTTCATGAATGTTCTCCGCGTGCCCTCTGCTCCTGGTAAGCTAAAGCCACAGGGACTTTCTTGTGCTCCTGCAATCCACTTTGGTCTTCCTGGATCCAAATCATAATCCTCTTTCTCCTTGTCCTCACGCTCTCCTCTCTTGGAATTCTTTCATAAATAAAAGTGGCAACACAGGGGCTGGGGTTGTGGCTCAGTGGTAGAGCACTCACCTAGCATATGCGAGGCGCTGGGTTTGATTCTCAGCACCACATAAAAATAAATAAAGGTATTGTGTCCAACTACAACTAAAAAAAAAAAAATTAAAAAAAAAAAGTGGCAATGCTACTTTGCTGCCCAAATAGCACCTTAGGGTCAGCCTCAACACCCACTGTCCCCCCACATCAAATCCAATACCCGTCTGCCTCGTCCAATGCCTACATCTTTCTCATCTGCCCACTCGTCTCAAGCCTGCAGCCACCACCCTCATTCAGACTTCTTCATCTCTCTCTGCCTCCTCTTGCCCTCCCAACCTGTTCTGTGTCTCCTTACCCAAACTCCCTAACAACCCTGCAGGGTTGCCTGTTGCCCAGGATAAACCAAACTCCTGAGAGCTTGAGTGGCAAGACCCTGTGTGACCTTGGCTTAGACCTCAGTCCCCGACAGCATGCCTTCAGCTTTCTCAGCTCCATCCAGCTTCCCTTCTCCCCGAGACTTTCCTATATCCTGCTACAGCTGCTTGAGAATCTTGGGGTTCTCCCCTGCCTATTCCTCTCAAAGGCACTGAACCAAATCAAACTCCATGAAACTTCCTGTTGGTCACCAATGACTTCCTTTGGTAAATCCAGTGGTCAATTTATTTATTTTTTTTTTTTTTTAAATTTTAATATTTATTTTTTAGTTATTGGCGGACACAACATCTTTGTTTGTACGTGGTGCTGAGGATCGAACCCGGGCCGCACGCATGGCAGGCGAGCGCGCTACCGCTTGAGCCACATCCCCAGCCCCAGTGGTCAATTTATGTATTCTTTCTCTTCCTCTCTCCCTTTCAGTACTAGAGATTGAACCCCGGGGTGCTCTACCAATGAGCTACATCTCCAGCCCTTTTTATTTTTTGAGACAGGGTCTTGTTAAGTTGCTAAAGCTGGACTTGAACTTGAAATCTTCCCATGTCAGCCTCCCAAACTGTTGGGATTATAGGCACGCACCACTGTGTATGGTGTTGGGTTTTCTTCTTGATGCTTACTTACTGTGAGACATAATCAAGTACTATTTTTTTTTGTGGGGGGGGGTACTGAGAATATAACTCAGCGGCATTTCACTCCTGAGACGCATCCCCAGCCCTGTTTATTTTTTATTTTGAGACACAGCCTTGCTAAGTTGCTGAAGCTGGCCTTGAATTTGTAATCTTCGTGCCTCAGCCTCCCCAGCCGCTGGGATTACCACCATGCCCGGCACTGTGTACTATTTGTTATTTCTATTATTTACTTACTGTCTGTCTCCTTGTACTAGAATGTAACCCTCTTGAGGCTGTGATATTTTGGTCAGTGTTGTTCACTTCTGTCTCCCCAATGCCCAGAAGGATGTCGGGCACACAGTGAGTGGTCTCTCAAAACAGACTGAACCTTTTAAGAGAGGCAATCCCTGGCTCTGCACCTGTTAGGTGAAATGACACTCCCATATTCTCCTGGCACCACAATCTCCATCCCTATCACTTGTCTGTCTTTCCTGCTGAAAAGTAAGGTTTGCAAGTGTAAAACTCGCCTGTCTTGTCCATGAATCTATTCCCAGGGCCTTCCAGTACCTGGTAGGTAGCTTTAGGTACTGAGTAAATGTCTCTTAACTTAAAAAACAGAGGACTGCGCTGGGGAGGTGGTGCATGCCTGTAATCCCAGCAGCTCAGGAGGCTGAGGCAGGAGGATGACCAGTTGAAGGGTAGCCTGGGCAAAGTCAGCAGGCCCTGTCTCAACAAAAGGGGGGGCGGGGAAGGGGAGGATGGGGATGTAGCTTAGTGGTAAAGGGCCCCTAGGTTCAATCCCCAGTAAAGAAAAAAAGAAAAAGACCGTGTGCCTGGGGGCCTCTGCCTGGGGGGCTGTTGGGGTCTCCCAAGGGCTCCTTCCTCCCCCAGCACTCATTTTTCTGGAAGATGTGGGTGAGGACGTCAGGAATGGGTCGTGTGGTCGGGCTGAGAAAGTGCCTGGTGCTGGGTTATGGGCCTGGACTCGGGTGAACAGGTGCTGGCCCGAGTCCCCCGGGGCTCCGGGCATACCTGGCGGGCGAGCGGCCGGGTGAGTGTCTCCCCGTAGGGGCTGAGCGGACACTCGGTGTAGTGCCGCAGCAGGTCCTGCAGCTGCGCGTGGGCGCTGTCCTCGCCCAGCACCACGTGGCGCCCGTCCCTGAGCTGGGCCAGCAGGAAGTGGCGGCAGCAAGTCCGGCTCCTGGAGGGCGCCAATCAGGATCAGATTCGCCATTGCCTCTCCCTGGCCAGGGCCACCAGCCGCGACCCCTACCTCCCAGCTCCAGGGTCTCTGCCCTGAGCCATCAGAGGGAGGAGGGGGAGCCCCCGGAGAAGAGGCTGAGTCAGCCCAGTCCCGTCCAGGTGATTAGCCCGAAGCCCCGCCCTCACCTGTAGGTCAGCACGAAGGTCACGGCGCTCTCGCTGAACCGCACCAAGTAGCATCCCTGAGGCTGGGGCCCCAGCAACCTCTCGGCCTCCCTGAGGGTGATGCAGAGAAGTGGCGGGACCTGGGCCTGACCCTTCTGGCCTCTCTCTGCCCCCGTGATTCTCGTGGGGATGGATCCCCACCTCCCAAGCAAGCATGCGGGAGGGTGGGCAGAGGGAGGATGGGTCGCGGCTCTTCACTGAGGGGGGGGGGGACTGGGTGTGGCCAGGAATAAGACCCCCCCCCCCACCCCCCCCACCCCGCTCCGGACACCCTGCATCCTACCAGGGCAGCAGCTGCAGTAACAGGGATAGAATTAACTTCTAGAGCTCAGAGATCACAGGCTGAGAAATGGAGGAGGGGGCTCTGCAAGTAGGAGTGTGGGCAGGAGAGAGCCAGAGAGAGAGATGGAGGGAGGGAGAGAGGCAGAAAATCTGAGGACTAGAGATCGGAGACGGGAGGTTAAGGCAACCTAGAGAGGAGAAAGAGGCACACACAGGGCTGGGCCTGAGCCTGCCTCTCCAGTGGTCTCCCTCCGGAGAGAGGTTTCAGTGAAAGGTCTGGGAAACTCTAGGAGTTGGAGTCTGGAGTCAGCTTCAATCAACTTTTTCTTTTTTTCTTTCCCTGAGGCATTGGGGATTGAACCTAGAGGTGCTCTGCCACTGAGCTTCATCCCCAGTCCTTTTTATTTTTTATTTTGAGACAGTATCTCACTAAGTTGCCCAGTTGGCCTTTAGCTTGTGATCCTCCTGCCTCAGCCTCCTCAGGAGCTGGGATTATTGGCCTGTGCTTCCACACTGACTGACTGCAGGACCTGGGACCTGCCGCTGCTGCCCTCGGTGACTCACCTCCGGGTGATGAAGCCATGGAACCAGGCTGGTGCTGTCCCTTGCTGCAGGAGCCAGTGAGCCTGGGTCTTCTGGAACCAAGCAAGGATCTCCGCCTGCAGGGACAGGCCATCTTCCCCGGGCACCTCTTCAGCCTTCTCAGTATTCCCTGGGACAGAAGCAGTCTCTGGGGTCCAGGGAGATGCCTGGAGAGAAGAGTTCAGGGAGGTGATTAGGGGGCTTCTCCCACCTGATTCCAAGCCACCACCTTGTTACCCTCACCTTCAGCTGCTCCTATTTTAGGGTAGAATTGACCAGAAAGTCCTTCCCAAGGTTACAGCTTAAATCGCTTCTTCAGCTCCAGCTGTTTGGTTTCCAGAGACCCTCCTCCCCCTTCCCCTGGGTCCTGCCTTTAATCCAGCTGTAGTGAGCTGTTAAATAGTGGGAAGAGAGGCAGCAGGCTCTTCCAGGTGAAAGGCAGGAAGTCACTCCAGAGGACACAGCAGGAAGGGCCCGGCTGGCTCCCAGGCAACTTCATGTCTGGGTGGTGAGAAGGGCTGAGGTGGGGGCGGGGATGCACTGAGCAGAGGAAGGCACAAGATGAGGTGTGTCTTCTGGGACTCTGTGCACGGTAACCTGGTGGCCTGCCTGTGGACCCAGCCTGAGCTTCCCAGGGGCAGAGGAGCAGCAAGGGGTGAGCAGGCAACTCAGCCAGGAAGGAGGGACTGCCCATCTCCTTGCCCCACTGGGGGCTCCCGCCCCGTTGGCAGCCCCCAATCATGCATCCCTGCCCACTCTCGTGGCAACCTTTGCCAGGCGCACATCCTCACCCTTGGGAGGTGGGAGCCGATGAGAGGGTTCTCTCCACCCCCCACATTCCCACTCACCGCAGCGTGGACAGCCAGCGTCCCCGAGCTGGGCGGGGGCTCCTCGGCCTTCAAGGCCTGCGGTCGGGGCTCCTGGGGCAAGCCCGAGCTCGGGCATCTCTTGCGGGTCAAGTCCATGGTCTGGAAAGTGCTGAAGGTTGGGGCAGGCGCTTCATAACTCCCTGTTGGCACAAAGAAGGCTGCTGGGTTCCTCAGAAAGGAGCTGCCTCTATCCCCTTCCGCCCAGGCTTAGAGTGACTCCAAGGCCTCTGGCCAGGGACCTGTGCAACAGGACAGCACCGTCATGACAAGAGAAATGCAAGAGGGACAGCAGCGGGGATTCCTCGGGTCGGGAATAAGCTGCCAAGGTGTCTCAGAGGAGCTGGTGCAGCCAGAGGGCAAGTGGGGTGCCAGGAAGGAGAGGCTGGGAATGAGGCCTGGGGGTCTCACGGAGAGGAGGGCTGCAGGCCAGGCCCCTCTCGGGACCAGGAGCCTCTGCCTGCCACCCCATCCTCCCAGTGTCTCCTTTCTCCTAAGAAGCCTCAGCCCACCGTGACACCTTTGTCCTCTGGGCTTGAGTAGACAGGGACCCCAGAGGGGGCAGGAGTGGCGGGCACTTGGCCAATCTGCCTGCCAGTTGTGGCTTGGTGTGGGCCCCTCACCCCGGAGGTGGGAGCTCAGACCCAGGGCAGCAGGAGTGGTGGGGGTCTTGGTGTCCCCTCCCACCCACATTCTGAAACTTCACACCTACCTGGGGGGCATATCTGGGCCAGGGGCATCTCCATGGGAGCAGGGCCCCAGAGCAGGGCGTGTGTCTGTGCTCTCAACAGGTATGCACACTCAGCAGCTCCCCTCTTACCCAGCCCCCAGGGACAGGAAGTGTCGCTTCACCCACAGACTTAGCCCCAGCAGAATCCCCACGTCATGGAAAGCCGAAAGATCATTGTCCCACCCCGGAAGCCAGGCAGTTGAAGGTGTGGTGGTGGGGAGTATTTATGTCATTCGGTGTTTAGGTGTTGGGAGGTCCTTCCTGCTATTTGACCTTCATCTATTCTGATTCTTTCTCTGCTCCTTTACTTCCAAATAAGATCTCTAAGGTGCTCAGAACTGCTTAGAGATTCACACTCAAGATTATGCTTTGAGGAGATATGAGAAGGGAGGGGATGGTGGCAACAGGAAGGATGTTAGTCAGACTTCTGGAGGAACTTTTTGAGGTCATATGAAATCTGTGAGACAAGGATTTAGGGAGAAGGGGGTCTGGCTTCCATCCTTGAGCAGATAATGGAGGTGAATCAGAGCAAAACCAGGCCATCTTGGAGGAAGGAAGGAGAATTCCTACAAGTAGGTCACTATTAATATCAACAATATTTGCAGTTGTCATCAATAATATCTGTGCTGAAGTTTCTGGGCTCAAGCCTTGGTTCAAGCCATCCTCCTGCCTCAGCCTCCAGAGCAGCTGGAACTACAATCATGTACCACCTGCCCACAGCGTTATCATTTTATTTCCCAAGGCCTGAAAGTGCAGCTCAGTAGCAGGTCAATTAACCCTGGGTTCAATCCCCAGCACTGGAAAGGGAGAAAGGTAGAAAGATTTCCTTTCCTAAGCATGAAAACTCTGGATTCAAAATCTGAAGTGTAGCCCAGTGTGGTAGCGCATGTTTGTAATCCCAGTGGCTTAGGAGGTCGGGGCAGGAGGATCATAAGTTCTAGACCAGCCTGGGAAACTTAGTGAAAAGTTGTCTCAAAATAAAACATAACAGATCTGGGTGTGGTGACGCATGCCTGCAATCCCAGCAACTTGGGAGGCTGAAGTAGGAGTATTGAAAATTTAAGGCCAACCTCAGCAACTTAATGAGAACCTAAGCAACTTAATGAGACTCCATCTCAAAATAAAAAGTAAAAAGGTCTGGGATATAATAGAGCAGTGGTTAAGCACCCCTGGGTTCAATCCCAGTATTAAAAATCAAATAAAATCAGGGCTGGGGTTGTGGCTCAGCGGTAGAGTGCTCACCTAGCATGTGCGAAGCCCTGGGTTCGATCCTTAGCACCACATAAAAATAAATAAATAAAATAAGGATATTGTGTCCAACTGCAACTAGAAAAAATGTTAAAAAAATAAATAAAATAAAATCATAATAGTAATAAAAAGGGCTGGGGATATAGCTCAGTGCTAGGTACTGGATTCAATCCCCTGTACAAGATGATGATGATATTAGTGCTGATGTCTTAGACTTTCAATACCAATCCCATTTTTCACCCATTTGATTTTTAAAAAACATTTGTGTTTTAGTTATAGTTGAACACAATATCTTTATTTTATTTATCTGTGTGGTGCTGAGTATCAAACCCAGGGCCTCGCACTTGTGAGGTGAGCTGTCTACCACTGAGCCACAACCCCAGTCCCTCTTCCATTTGATTTTTACAAACTGAGCAGGAGACAGGAAACATTATTCCCATCTCCCAGGAGTGCAAACTGAAGCTCAGAGAAATTAAACCTTGGCCAGGGTCTTTCAGTGTCTCAGAAGCTGGGACTGACTAGAAACTACGCTTTCTCTAACTAACTCCACTATGATTTAGGCCAAAGGTTCACACACTGTTCTTGGGGTCAACAACCCAGAGAGGAAAAAGGACCTTGTCTCAAGACGTCAGGTCGGGGAGATGGACAGACACTTATTAAAAGGTGTGGCAAACTGAGCCAGTCGTGGTGGTGCATACCTGTAATCCCCGCACCCCTATAATCCTCCGCCTGGGAGGCTGAGGGAGGAGGATTGAGAGTTCAAACCCAGCCTTAGCCACTGAGCAAGGCCCTAAGCAACTCAGCGAGACGCTGTCTCTAAATAAAATATGAAAAGGGCTGGGGGTGTGGCTTGGTGGTTAAGTGTCTCTGGGTTCAATCCCTGATAACACCCCCCAAAAAGTTGTGGCAAATTAATGATGTGGGTTTATGCTAGAGGAGGCCACCTTCAGAGGCCCCTGATTCAGCCTGGGCTGTGTGTGCGTGCACATGCACATTACACACGTATGTAGGGGGTTGGGATGTCAGAAGAGGAAATGGAGCTGAGTGGTGGAGAATCAGTCCAGTTGAAGAGTGGGGACAGATGTTTCTGGAAGAGGAGCCAAGCTCAGAGTGATGAGAGTGAGAAAAGGGAAAGTACCCCAAATAGGCCAATGGGAAGGGTCTTGCCTGGCATGTTCAAGGCCCAGCACCACATATACACACACACACACACACACACTGCTGCAGAACCTTGAGCTGCAAAGAGCAGTAGTTAGGTGTGTGACAGGCACTTTCACTTCGTAAAGATGATTTTTCTCAGAGGGCAAAGTGCAATCACACCTCAGAGTAGTCCACAGAAAGGAGAAAGGGGGCGGAGTTTATCTGCTCAGTTCCTTTCTGCTCTCCTCTCCCATTGGTCAAGGTTATCCCATAGGAACCGACCTCTGAGGCTGTGTCCTCCGCATTCCTAAGCATCCACTCAGGAAACCAGATCCCATCGCCCATGAAGTGGTGTTTGTATTAATCAGAAATGGAGGGGTGACTCAGAGATGGGCTCAACCCGTGGGCTGTGAAAACCATACCTTCTGAAGAATTCAACTTGGACTCCATTCAGATTTAGCTATAAAAAAAAGAAGTGGGGGCCAGACATGGTGTTGCACCCCTATAATCCCAGCAGCTCAGGACGCTGAGACAGGAGGATCTTGAGTTCAAAGCCTCAGCAAAAGTGGGGCGCTAAGTAACTCTGTAAGGCCCTGTCTCTAAATAAAATACAAAATAGGGCTGTGGACATGGCTCAGTGGTCGAGTACCCCTGAGTTCAATCCCTGGTACCCCCGCCCCCCCAAAAAAAAAGGAGTGAGACTCTAATAAAGGTGACAGTGATTTTGGAGCATCCCTTTTGGATATAATCAGTTAAGAGATTCTAGCTGGGACTGAGGTTATGGCTCAAGTGGTAGAGTGCTCGCCTAAGACTCATAAGGTATTTGGTTTGATCCTCAGCACCACATAAAAATAAAATGAAGATATTGTGTCCACCTAAAACTAAAAAATAAATATATTTTTTTTTAAATAAAGAGATTCTAGCCGGGTGTGGTGGGGCACACCTGTAATCCCAGTTACTTGGGAGGCTGAGGCAAGAGAATTGCAAGTTTGAGGTCAGCCTAGGCGATTTACAAAGACCCTGTCTCAAAAATAAAAAACACCAAGGGCTGAAGATGTAGAGGATATAGCTCAGTGGTAGGGCTCCCCTGGGCTCAATCCCTGATACTGCAAAACAAAACAAACAAAAAAGATCCTAAGGGGAATATACGAATGTTGCATTCAACAAGGGCCTACCTTGAACCCTCTCATTCTATCCAGTTCCCATGCCATAGTATTAGGCTTAAATTTGTTCTGTACAAAGACATTACTAATTCTTTTTTTTTTTTTGGTATCAGGATAGCCCTTTTATATACTTTATTTAGAGACAAGGTCTCACTGAATTGCTTAGGGCTTCACCAAGTTGCTGAGGCTGGCTTTGAACTCGCGACCCTCCTGCCTCAGCTTCCCGAGTCATAGGATTACAGGCACGTGCCCCCACGCTCAGCTCTAATTCTTAATTTATCCCCCAAGAAGGGAGCTGTATTACCCAGTTAGTCACGGGTTTCCTTCAAGATGATGGATGGCCAAGTGTTTTTCTCAAAGACTAAGGCAAAAAGATTAGTGGGATAAAAGCCTAATCCTCATAGTTGTAACTGGGCCAGAAGCGCTAATTGATATTCATCTTTTCCTTTCTCCACCTACATTCTAGACACCCCCCACCTCCAGTTAGCACTTCATCTGGTCTGGAAGACAATCCAGGTAGGTTGATCCAGACCTTCATTTCCAAAAGGTATAGACCCTACATCTCCAATCCTTTTTTTTTTTTAAAGAGAGAGAGAATTTTTTAATATTTATTTTTTAGTTTTCGGTGGACACACATCTTTATTTTATTTGTATGTGGTGCTGAGGATCGAATCCAATGCCCTGCGCATGCCAGGCGAGTGCGCTACCGCTTGAGCCACATCCCCAGCCCTCCTTTTTGTGTTTGTTGTTTTGAGACAGGATCTCACCATGCCCTGCCCTGTTGGTTGTTGTAGCTACCCATTACCAACCATCTCTAGACGTGACAGTACTGATAGATGCCCAGAGAGTCCCTGGGTACAAGATGTTTTCCTCCCAAGGTCCTGACCCATGACTGGTCATTTTCCATGGGACTATTGGAAAATAGTCCATGTATATCTTTATTCCAGATGGTCACTCCCTACAGCACACTATGCTCATAACTCTGATTCCTAGTGGGATTTCCCTTTATCACTGTCCTTCAGGGACACATTGACTGGGGCCGTACTGCTTCTGGTGTGAGGTACATCACTCAGGTGGTGAGTTCCCCACCCCGGGATAACCTAAGTGTTGACTGAAGAAGAAGCAGTAGTGTAGTTCAGGCAGGTGGCCTGAGCCACCCTGCTCATGCAGTCGATGTCTGCATTCTGGACCAGCTCAACCCAGTCCAAAGGGCCATTTCCATCACATACTGGTTACTGCTTTTCAACTCCAACATATGACTCAAGTGGCTCTTACAACACTTGGCTTAGGATGGGTAGCTTCCGTTGAATGGCTACTTGGTGCTCACTGGTCAGGCATTCAGTCCCTGTCAGGGCAAAACAGGAGCTGTTTTTGAGAGCGTGGTTCTTTGTTAGAGAGAACATGACTTTGTTCCAGAATCCTAGGGTATGACTGCAATTCTTAATTGAGGTTTGCCAACACAGCACCCGTGTCCACTGCAGATATTTCCAGTACCCATGGCCTGAGAGGCAGGGCAGTATGGATACTCCCTGGACCTGCTCTGGGAGCACTTGAACTGGC